CTACTTCCGTAGTGATACTGCCTCGGAAACCCAAGGAGGGGTCGCTATGAGTCAGGGCTGACTCGATGGCACATAACAACAACAACAACAATCAAATGGATGGCCACCATTTTTATTTTGTTAAAAAAAATGAATGAATAATTATGATGGAGATTGGATGCCTGAAAACAGCCTACTCAGTTATTTTGCTGGTGTTTTAAAAGCCAATTTAAGTATTAAGAGTATAAATAAATTATGACTTCAAGTGACACACATATTCAGTCATCACAATAACGGAATTCCCTGAAATGAAATGTGGCAGTGTGTGGACTCCATCCAGACTTCAGAAGCACTGCTTAATCTGAAAGTCAATAACTATGTAAATTGACAGCTAAAGAATATATTTCCACCCACTTCTCTAAAAGGGAGAATAATTTATCTCTCCTTTTGCACTTTAAGGCTACAAGGTGAATCTCCAGATTGGACAAGAGAAAAGTGACATGATTAGTCGAGGATTTGAATGCTTTCAGCCATTCTTTAAATTTGACTTCTGTCACTGATAGGCCAACATTTAAAGTGAACACCCATTAAGAAATAAATGTAGGTAAGAGAATGCTCTCAGTCTTAAATCAAGCATAGAAGCTTACAAGGCAGTTGTGTTTGTGCCATGAATTCTGGACAATGAATTTCACTTGGAAATTTCAAGAAAAGGTAAAATTGTCAGCTATATATAGAACATTGTCTTTTTAGCTACAAATAATGTTCTTGCCTTTTAGACTTTTTTGCTTCCTGTTCTTCATAAATCTAAGATTTTGGAATGGCATTAGGCTTGGGAAACAGTGGAAGTCTTATCTATCTCTATTGTTAACTGCCATTGGTCAGCTCCAACTCATGGTAACTGTCGAGTCAATTCCAACTCCTAGTGACCCCTCCTACTGGACCAATGAGCAGCATCACAATAAACGGAGAGAAGATTGAGGTTGTCAAGGAATTCATGTTGCTTGGTTCTACAATCGTTGCCAACGGAAGCAGCAGTCAGGACATTAGATGACGTGTAGCATTGGGGAAGTCAACTGCGAAGGAACTGTTTCAAGTGCTGAGGAGCAAGGATATCTCCTTGAGGACTAAGGTATGCCTGACACAAGCCATGATATT